CGCTTCACACCATGGCCCGGACGGAGTCCTCGACCAGGCGCTCGATGAGGTGGTCGTCCAGCGGCCGGGGGGCCACCGGGCAGCGGGAGTGCGCGGTGGCCAGGTAGTCGGTGATGAGGTTGACGGCGCTGCGGGTGGGCGGAGGAAGGTGAGTCCGGCGTGGCGGGGGGCGGGCGGGGCGGCAGGAAGAAGGGCCCATGCGGGGCACGCGGCACGCACGCTTGGTCCACGCGGATGGCCAGGAGCAGGGACTGGGCAAAGAGCGCGTCGACTTGGCACTGCTGGAAGGGGTCGATGACGGTGATGGGCCCGGAGGCGGGCAGGTCGCCGCCGGCCGGCGGCATGCGCGGACGCAGGGAGCACTGGAAGCGCATGACCTCGGAGGCGGCGCGCAGCAGGCGCTTGGCCAGGGCGGCCACAATCCACCGGGGCCGGAACTCGACCGGGCGCTGCCCTGGCGAGGGGACCAGCCGATCGGGGAAGGCGCTGGCGGCGCTGTCGGCCCCGGCCGGGCCGAGGGTGGGGTCGACCCCGGCCGCGTCGGACGCCGGCTCGAAGATGTCCACGCGCTCGGAGAAGAGCCGGTCGATGGAGAGCATGCGGTCGCGGGTGAGGCCGAAGCCCCCGCGCGCGGCCTGGTGCAAGCTCGAGTGGGACCCGGTGCGGCGGTGGCCGAAGGGCCGGGCCCCGGGGCCGGTGGCCGCCGGTGCCCCCCCGCCGCCGGGCGCATTGCCGGCCGACTCGGCCAGCGACGAGAGCGAAGCCCCGGACCCGGAGCGCGGCATGCCGGCACCGCCCGGGCCGCCCGGGCCGCCGGGGCCGGACGACGAGGCGCCGAGGCCGGGCCCCGGGCCGCTGCCGGGGCCCGGCGCCCCGGCATCCGGCCCGGCGACCACCAGCTCGGCCACCAGGCCGAAGAGACGCAACCCGCCGAGGGCCCGCTGCCAGCAGGCGCTCGGCCCGTAGGGGGACTGGAATTGCAGCCGGGCCTGCTGGGCATCGGTCAGCGGCAGGCCCAGGACCAGTGGCCACTGGGCGGCCAGGGCCTCGGTCAGGCGCCCGGTCAGCAGCGACCCGCAGGCGTCGATGTACATCTGCACCAGCGAGCCGGCTTCATTTTGGAGCTCGCGCGACAGCACCGAGGCCATGAGCCCGGCCGTGGGGTCCTCCTGGACCAGGCGCCCGGCGGAGGTGGGCGACACCGGGGCCCCGCCGGGCGCCTCCGCCGGCTGGAAGGACCGGGCCACGATGGCCAGGCACCGGGCCACGGTGCCCTGTGAAAGGAGCGAGCAAATGCGCGCCAGGGCCAGCGGCAGGGCCGCGTGCGTGGCCTCGGTCAGGCTGTCCAGGTACTGTTGCTGCTGCTGCTGCTGCTGCTGCTGCGGGGCGGCCCCGGCGTCGGGGCCGGTGACGCCGCGCAGGAGCGGATGCCCGGGGCCCAGCTCGGCCAGGGGCCCGGCCAGCTTCTCCACCATCTTCAGCAGGGTGGCCGACGCGGTGGGGGGGCGCTCGATCAGGCGGTCGGCGAACCCCTGCGACCGCCGGCGCACCTCCATGGCGATGAGTGGCCAGAAGGCCCGGGCCCGAGCCTGCACCGTCTCATTGAGGGTCTCCCCGTGGAGCCGGGTGAAGGCGCTGCCGCCGGCGAGGAAGACCTTCAGGTCGTCGACCACGCTGCCGAAGTACTCGGCCAGGATGTCGCGCAGGTTGCCGGCCGCCTCGCACAGGGAGTTGCCCACGAAGCCGAGCAGGGTCCCGGGGGCCAGGGCATTCGGGTCGCTGGAGTTGAGCCCGGCGCTGATGGCCGAGATGAGGGCATTCTGCGAGACGGACTGGAGCTGCTGCAGGGAGTCTGTGTGTTTTTGTTGTGCGCGCGTCGGCGTGCGCGTGCCCAGGGGGGCGGGGGCGGGGGG